CCGGAAGGAAGATTCAGCGCTGGTGCTGAGGATGCGGTGTGGACTCCCCTCACTGCACTGACAGGGCGGGGCTCAGGCGTCACAAGGCCACACTTGGTGGTACGGGACCTGGGGTCAGGTGCATACAAAGCATGGACTTTAGTCCCTGTACTATCTCTCCAGACCTACTTTAGCTTTTTTTTGGCTAAAATCTTTATCAAGATATGATTCACAGACTCAGAAATAAAAGATTCACAGATATCACAGATAATCTATCCATCTAAAGCATATAGTTGTTTTTTAATATATCCATAATATTGATATCATGACCTTCAAAATCAGTATTTTAGGATTTTTTTCATTCTCTTCAAAAATTAAACAAACAGGGCTGGAGCAATAGCACAACGGGTAGGGCATTTGCCTTGCACGAGGCCGACCCAGGTTTGATTCCCAGCATCCCATATGGTCCCCTGAGCACTGCCAAGGGTAATTCCTGAGTGCAGAGCCAGGAGTAACCGCTGTGCATAGCAGGGCGTGACCCCCCCCCAAAATAAACAAACAAAAAAACCGAAACAATGTTGTTTAGCTCTTACCATGTGTCTCCAACGACCCACTCCCAACTCTTCCCAATTGCTTCTGACTCCCATCTCTGTAGAATAAAGGGGATTCTGAAGAGTTTATTCAAATGGAATCATGTAATATATGGTACGTGGCCTTATGACTAGCTTCTTCCACAGACTTCTCACAGTGTTTTTTTGTTTGCTTGTTTTTTTTCTTATTTTTGTTTGGGGGCCATATCTGGTGGTGCTCAAGTGCCTCTCCTGGCTCTGTACTCAGGGGGGTCAATCCTGGTAGTGCTCAGAGAACCCTAGAGTAGAGCTGGGCATAGAATTAGGCTGGCTAAATGTAAGGCAAGTGACTTAACCTGTACTATCTCTTCAGGGCCTTTTTGTTTTAATGCTGTGTGGCATGTATCAGAACTTCATTTCTCTGCTTTCCAAGTACAAATGTGTTGTATGGATAGATAACTATTATTTGTTTGTTTGGGGGCCACACCTGGCAGTGCTCGGGGTTTACTCTTGGCTCCATGCTCAGGGATCACTCCTGTTGGGGCTCAGGAGAATATATGGGGTGCCAAGGTCGGGCACGTGCAAAGCAAATGCCCTACCCACTGTACTATCTCTCTGCTCCAAGATAGATAATCATTATTATTTTTAAAATCTATTCATCATTTGATGGACATTTATGTTGTGTTGGGGACATGCCCGCCTGCTGAGCTGGGATTGGACTAAGGCAATGAAAGCTTACTCTAATGTACAATTCATGTGCCCTCTCCACTCCCAGGAGCTGCCCAGGATATACCCCTGAGAGAACATGTTTTGCTAAGACCATATGGCTGCTGCATATGATTAAACGCAGTTAACTATCTAAGCTTCTAAGATTTGGGAGGTGGGTGTAGAGAACAGTTTGTCTTGCAGTGGCCCAAGACAGAGCATCTTGGTGGTCATTAGAATTGCCACCTACCTATTGGAGAGCTCTGGCTTTTTCCTGGGCATGGCTTCACCTCTGTGGATGGGACCAAGTTCAAGCCACTCCTGGGGTGTGACCCAACAGGTTGTTACTATTTTTTTGTTTTGTTTTGTTTTGTATTTTTGTCTAGCAAGAGTAGTGTTAGCCTGAATTTTTGTACTTAAGTTTGTGCGGATGGATTTTTTTTTTAATTTCTCTTGGCTATATATGTAGGAGTGAAATTGCTGGGTCATCTGGTGTATTTAACATTTTGAGGAACTGCCAGACTTTTTCAAAGCAGCTGTACCGTTTTTACATTCCCACCAACAACTCATGAGGTTTTTAATTTCTCCCCTTAATTGCCAGCACTCTCTATAACTTGTTTTTAATATTACTATTGATATCCTAGGGAGTTTGAAATTATATCTCGTTTTGGTTTTCTTGGTGGCTGATGACGTTGTCTTCTCATACGGGTCATTTTCAGAGCTTTGGAAAAAGGTGGGTTCAGATTCTTTGGCCATATTTTAGTTGTCTTTGCCTTTTCATTATTGGTTTATAAGATTACATATTTGGGGGCTGGAGCGATAGCACAGTGGGTAGGGCATTTGCCTTGCACACGGCCTACCTGGCTTCAATTCCCAGCATCCCATATGGTCCCCCGAGCACTGCCAGAAGTAATTCCTGAGTGCATGAACCAGGAGTAACCCCTGTACAAAGCCAGGTGTAACCCCCCAAAAAATGCAAAAAAAAATCACATATTTGGACACAAGAATTTATCAGATACGGAATTTGCAAATATTCTTCCTTTTAGAGGATTCATGTACTCATTTACTGCGGCTGTCTTTAACAAAAGATAAAAGAGTGAATAGTTTTAAATAACAGAACATTATTTCTCACAGTTCTGGGGCCTAGAAGTTGAAGATCAAGTTCTCAGAAGGTCGGTGTTCTGCTGGGGTCTCTTTCCTTGGTTTGTGATAGTTTTCTTCACCCTGTGCTTTATTTCTGGTGTTTTTTTTTGGGGGGGGGGGAAGTGGAGATAACACCTGGTGATGCTCAGGGGCTGAGGAGCTACTCCTGGTCCAGTGCTCAGACTATGCTCCTAGCAGAGCTTTGGGGACCATGTGGTGCTGGGGGGTTGGTCCAGGGGCTCCTGCCTATAAAATATGTACTTGACGTGTCTAGCATCTCCCTGGCCCTGTCTGTCTTTATTTGGTTTCTCATCTGCATGATCATCCTTATTGTCACTGGTCATAGAGACTAGTACACAAGATGTGAATCTGCTCTGAGGGTCCCAGTTATTCACCTCTTTGGAGTGGGGGGCATACAGTGCTGTGCTTAGGTTTTATACTCAGCAGTGACCTGAGATCTGCGCCATGGCTGGCAGGATGCAGGGCCAGTGCCTTCGTCTCTGTACTGTCTCTTCCAGAGCCTTGATCTGCCCTTTAAAAAGCAGGGCTGGGCTATGGTCTAACTTTTAGGGGATACAGAGCACAAATGTGTTTAATTTTTTTTTCTTTTTGGGCCAACCCGGCCATGCACAGTGGTTACTCCTGGCTCTTCACTCAGGAATTACTCCTGGCGGTGCTCAGGGGACCATATGGGATGCTGGGAATAGAACCCGGGTTGGCCGCATTAATGCCCTACCCGCTGTGCTATCGCTCCAGCCCCCAAATGTGATTAATTTTAATGACGCCCAATTTCATCTACTTTTTTTCCCTTTATGCCTTGGCTGCCACAACTGAGAAATACTTATTTGGCCAGAGGTAACAATTTCTGTCTATATTTTCTTGTGAGGGCTTTTCAGTTTTACTTCTGCATTTTACTTGGATCCCTGACATCTGGTACGCGGCGAGGTCCAGTTTTATTCTTTCGCATGTAGAGATCCAGTTGTCCCAGCACCATATGTTAAAAAGGCAGTTCTTGTAACAAGATGTTGTCATGTCAATCAAATTGAAAATCAGTTGGTCATAGGTGTCAGGGTTGATACCTGGTCCTGTTTAATTCCAACAGCCTACTCTGTCTATCCTTACACTCACACCCTACTTTTGAAATTAGGCTCCTTTTTTTTTTTTTTTGAAAAAGGAGCCCTCAGCCTTCTTCTGAGTTTACTTGCAGGGTAGGTAGAAAAGTGCGTGGGAGGCGAGTAAACAGTCAACCCGGGCTATGGGGTCCTGACACGGCTCCAGGCTCCATGTCAGGAACATGCGATGGGCTCTGAGGCCTTGTATGTATACAGGCCTTGGGGAGATGAACTCCCTCCCTCTCAGCCCACAGGGCTCGGAGATAAATCAATGGAAACATTTCTGCGAGAACAATGATCCCCTTGGGTTATTTTAAACACAGCTTTAAGTCTCCCCCACCTGCTCTGCGCTCTAATTGCTCCTACTGAAACAGTGTCATTCACAGCTGGCTTAGTAATGAAGCGAGAGGAGCGGTGGAGGTGGGGCTTTCGGGGGACCTGGGGGACCCCGACCAAGCCCAGTCGGGAGGATTTTACTTTCCCGAAGAAAGGGTCCCCAGTCTCCTAGCAAACAGGAAATCACTTAACCCGAGAAGATTCCGAGCGAGCGAGCAAAGCCGGCAGAGTCCACCCACTAAACTGCTGGGAACTGAATTCGCCGGGTGCAACCCCAAGCCCCCAGCCTTAAACCTTGTCTGTCCGCCACCCCCACCCCCTCCTGCCAGGGCTCTAATCTGGAGGCCGAGAAAGAGCAGGAAACAAGGGCCTTTGTGGAGAAGAGGACTCCATTGTTCTGAAGCCAGGGTTCAGCCAGTGTGGATTCCGGAGAATGTTTTGGGGTGGGTTCTTCCCCTTTATTAACTTTGTCTCCTGAGGTGGGGGGAGGGCGGGCAGGGGGAGTTGAACCGTGGCGGCCGCCGCTGCAAGAAGACATGCAACTGTCTTACATGCACTGTGGTGTAAAGTAGAGCGGGGGGCTCCGAGACCCGCAGGAGAGCCCCGACGTCGGCAGGTGCTGGCCCTTTTATTTTTAGCCCCGAGCCCCGGGGAGGCAGCCCGTGTGTCGGCCGTGCACCTCTCGGTCGGGGCGGCCGTCAGCGGAGGTATGACCACATCCTTCCTCCCGGGCTTCGCCGCCTTTCCTTCCAGAGGGAGGAAATGATGCGGGTTCCCCGCGCAGGCCACGGCCCCCCACGAGCCTCGCTGCTCCCCGCCCCCCTCCGTCCAGCGGGTCCCCACGGGCATCCCCGACCCTAGTTCCTAATTCTGGGTGCCCTGGGGGCAGAGCCTGCTCCTGTCTCTGAGCTGACCACAGGCAAACGGGAGCAAGAATCTGGTCCTTATTCCGGGAGGGCGCAGAACGCGTAAGAAAAAAAAACACAACCCAATCCCGAAACCTGGCCGCCGCCAGCGTCCTGCTGCTCAACATAGAGACCCTCGTCACGAGAGCGCGGGGACCCTGCCCCGAGCTCCCCGCCCGCCCCAGCGCCCCGCCCCTTCCCGGGAGCTCAGGCCCCGCCCCGGGGGCGGAGTCGGGGGCGGGGCCGGGCAGGGGGCGGGCCCGGGGCGGCGCGGAGGCTGGCGGCGAGCTCCGCGGGCTGCTGTCGCCTTACCGGCAGCTGCGGCTGGAGGACAGACAGACGGAGCCGCTAGGGCCGGGAGCCGCTCGGGGCAAGGCTCGGCAGAGCGGGTGAGTTCCCGGGCGGCGCCGCCTCCTGCGCCGGCCTCTGCGGCGCGACCGGGCGCGGGGTGAGCACCTTGAGGGGTGGGGTGGGGACCGTTGGCTGGGGAGCATTTGGCCGGGCGTGGGGTGGGGGGGTGGTGGACTAGGGCGCTTTGGCCAGGGGTCTGCGGCTTCGGAGAACGGCAGGGCGCTGGGAAGGCGGGTTCCCGGAGCGCCGCGCTGGGAGTCGTGTTGGGTAGGGGCGTACGCGTGCCTCGCGCGCGCCAATGACAAGGCCCGGGTAGGGGGCGTCTTGGCAGGTTGTTGGCTGGGTCCACCGTGGCCCGATCTGGGGGGCGGGAAGAGGGGCCCTGGACTCGTGGGCCGCTGCGGGGCTGAGGGTGGTGGTACCCCGCCGGGCAGCGAGAGCCCCAGCCAGCCCCAAGTCCCCCGGGGACTCCCCTGCCTGGGGTAGGACATGGGGGCGCCGCCCCCTCGCGGGGCGGCCCTGGGGCCGGGCGGGAAAGGCCCCCCCCCCCAGGACAGGCGCCGGAGTACGCAGACCCCGCCCCGTGGAGAGACCCCCTGACAGCGCCTGTCGGTCCGGGGCGGGGAAACCCCGCGCGTAGTAGGACGCGAAGCCGTGGCCCGCGCTCGCGGGGCGTCCGTCTCTGGGGGGCTCCCCGCGCCTGGAGCGCCCTCCTCCGGAGTCCCGCGCCTCGACTCGGGCCGGAGAAGCGCCCCCCGAGTGCCGAGGACGAGCTGAATCTGCAACGCCGAGGGGTCTCCCCAAGGTCACCTGGAGCGCCCCGGCCGAGCTGCCCGGACCGCCCGCCCGGAGTGGAGCGCAGGGAGAGGGAGGCGCGAGGAAGGCGACCCCCCTGCTCCCCTCCTCCACCTCCCCCCAGTCGGGACCCCGCTTTGCTCGGATGCTGGGGACGCGGCGCGCAGCCCCGGGCGGATGCTCGCGCCGGGGCGAGCTTTGAATCCGGTCCTCCCCGCCCCCCCCCCGAGGGCCGCGCGCAAAGCCGAGGGGGCTCCGGGTACCCCTGGCGGAGCCGAGGGAGAGAGAGAGACGCGGCTGCCGAAGCGCATCCCACAGCCGAGAGCCCAGCGGCTGGCGCGCCCATGTGATGGGAACCGCGCATAAAGGGCCCCTGTTCTCGCTGTCAGAAGCGCCCGCCCGCTCCCTGCGGCCCGGGGCGCCAGGTGCCGCCTGTGAATCGCCCTCTGTGGGCACCCCGGAGGGTCCCCGCCGTCCCGGGCGCGCGTTCCCGCAGAGCTCTGTCGGAGAAGGGGGCCCCCCGGAGCCAGGCGCGGGGAGGCTCCCCGGGTGCGCCCTGTCATTTCCTGCGGCCGGCCGAGCCCCGGAGGACACCCCTCCCTCTGGGCCGGTGCCTCGCTGTCTGCCCGAGGGCGAGACTCTTGGCCTCCCCGCGGACCCGCGGCTGCTCCGCCGCGGCGGGGAGGAGCGCGCGGACCCGCGGGAAGGGCTTGGCGCAGTCTAGCATGGCGCGATGTCGACTCCGGGGGCGCCGGCCCCGTTAGCACCGCTCTCCAGCGGGGTGTGTCTCGCTCGCGCAGAGGTGGCGCCCCGGTGGGCGGTTCTGCAGAGGCTGAGGGGGAGTTTCCACCTCTTCCTCCCTCGGCTCTGTCATCAAGAAGCAGCTTGCAGGCGGCGGGTGGGCGCTGGTGAATCCTTTCAGCTCGCTGCTTGCTCCCAGGGGCCTCCCACGTAAGTCCCCCTCAGCCCTCCGCTCCCACCTGCCGCCCCAACCCCATCTTCCTGGCCCCTGGGCCCCTGGTCAACCAGGCTACCCCGGACCTTCGACTTTGCATCTTCTAGTCCTTCGGAGTCTCCCCGATAGTGTCCCCCACCCCTGAACCTTCCTGATTGCTCCCCTGCTTCCTCGAGCTCCCCCGGAGCCTCTGAAACATCTACCTTGAAGAAGAGCCTTTGCTCCTTCCTGCCCCTCTTGGGGTCTCTCTCAGGGGCCGTTTCTCTCTGTGCTGGGGCGCCCGTGTTTCTTGCAGCCTGGTGCGCTCTGGCTGTTGCCTGGCGTGGAAGGACACGCAGGCCGGGGTCGATGCACATCCAGACTTCATGCTCTCTGGGGTTTGTTACTGAAGTTGGAAGCTGAATTCCCATCTAGCTGCTAAGTCTGTTCAGCAGCCAGCGCAGGGAACGGAGAAGATGCTGATGTAGGGAGATGAGTACTTCACTCCCCCCCTCCCCCCCACCAAGACAAGTCCCTATCTGGAGCCTTTGGAAATGAGGTCTCCAGATGGTTTTCAAAACCAGCCTGGTACCCCGAGTGAGCTTTCTCTGACCCCTGAGGCTGCAGATCGCCTGGTCTGGCGACTTGTAGAAGGCACCTATCGGCACCTACCGTGGATCCTCAAGGACCTCAGCAAAGCTCGCCTCCCATCCCCCAGCCTTGCTGCTTTACCATTTACCCTGCCTGCACTCAGAGCTTGAAACATTTGGCGTCCAGTGGACCCCAAATGTCATGCATACAGGAAACCAGGGCACCGTGCTTTATCCCCAGTGCATGGGCGAGACCGCGCTTCTCTTGCGGGTCTAGGCAAGCCTTGCATCAAGCAGGCACCCACGAGGAGCTGGGAATCTAGATGAGTCTCATTCACGTTGCACCTCTGCACTTGGTCTCAGGACTCTGGGCTCTGTTTAACAGCCACCTGGAGTCCCAGTTTTCTTATCTGTAAAATGGGTGGAGTCATAGCAATGGCCTTGAAGAGCCTGTGGGGCCAGAATATAGTGAAGGTGCTCAGGGTTGCCCCTGGCGTGGGCGGGTTTGCAGGAAATGATCATCTCACTTTCACCGCCTTTTCCTCCTCTACACAGGGTCTCAGAGCTCTGGGGAGGTGGGCCCCTTCTGCTTCTGGCTATGAGGATGGGGGAAAGTCTTTCGGCCTGGGGGTCGACTTCCTGCCCATTCTGAGTCTGTCTTAGTCTTTCTCTAATGCCAGCCATTGCTTAGGACCACTGACTTCTTCAACAGGGTCTGCTCAATCCAAATGCTGTGTGTGACCAGGAATTTCCAGAGGAATGTGGCAGCACCCTCCCCCCCCCCACCCCCACCTCGGGGTCCTCACTCCAGGGCAGAGGCAGGCCTGGAGAATGACACTGAGGATGCCCAGGGGTACCGGTTTTCCTGACAAGTAGAGTGCAGAGCAGAGCAGGGGACAGACCCATCGACCTAGGCTTCACTCCTGAATCTGCCAGCTCGTGGCTGGGGGATGATGGACAGATGCCATCTGACCTGCCAAGGATGGTATGAGAGGAATGAATGAGACCACATAGGTTAAACACCGCCCCCCCTCCCGCCCCCCGGACCTGCTAGCTAAGAAGTCTGTGCTCGGAAATATTAGCTGTTATTATTCTTAGTTACGATGCCTCATAACAGGTGGGCAAAACTTGGTGTGGGAGCACATCTGAGCTCCAGGTGGTGGGCATGGGGCTGGTGGCTCCAGGAGAGAGAGAGAGAGAGAGAGAGAGAGAGGAGACAGCTTGCACCAAGGCAGAAACTCCATCAAACTTGGTGCCATGGAGAGCAGTTGGCAGGAGCTGTGGCAGGAATACATCTCTGCAGGGCATAATGGAGACCGGGTTTGCAGGCAAGGCCAGGGAGGGAGTGCCTCTCCCATCCTCTAGGGGCCCCGAATGATTAAACGCTCACTGACCCGAATCAGGAAGCCAGCAAGCTCATCAGGTGGCTGGTCTCAGGGGAGGACTGTCTCTCGAGCCCAGGGAAGCCCGGCCTGTGCATTCCAGCCCGTGTCTCACCGTCCCTTCCCCACCCTCTGCCCTAGAATCCCCAAAGCCTCCTCCTTTCTTCTGATATGCTTCTCCGGCCTCCTCACCAGGCTCACTCTTCCTGGGACTCAGTTTCTCACCGGAGGGAAGAGGATGCGGGTGGAGGGTGTGCCTTATAGATCTGACATTGTTCCGAACACTTCTCTGCATGCAAGCATGGTTCCGTCCACGGACTTCACTTGCATTGTTCATGACTCCTCAGACCTACCCATTGAAAGTAGCCACATTTGTTCCCCATTGCTCAGGGGGGAGGGGGAGCACGGAAGACGAAGCATGACTAAAGGGAACTCCTAAGTGACAGACATTCTTATTGGGGTCTCAGGGGAAGAGGGAGGCTGTGTGCAAACCTGTCCCACCCTCAGGGTCACGCTGAAGATCTAAAACTAAGCACCACCTGTCTGCCTGAGCCCCCCCTCCCCCATCCCCGCAACCCCAGACGCTGGGCGTGAGGTGCCTTGGAGATGGGTCCCAGTGGGATGTGCTCTGGGGACTGCCCCTTCTGCTTCCTGCCTGGACTCCAGGGAAGGCCCAATGTGAGGCCCTGGGCAGGGGATGTTCTAGTTCTCAGTTTCAGGGTGACATTCCTTGGCCCTCTGGTGTTTCACAAATGTGCCTACACACAGCAGTTTACAGCTTGATAGATGTGACAGGTGCTGGCTGAGCTCCACGGTGACCCCAGGAAGAAATAAGTCTTTTAGGATGGCTGCTCAGAGCCCTACCTGTTTTCAGAAGACCCTAAAAACAAAGGCTCGGATTTCCTTTTTTCGTGGGAGGCAAAGTCGAAGGTTCAGATCCTGCCCCTGCCTCTCACTGGCTTGTAGGCTTTGGATATTTAGTTTCTTCACTTCCTGGAGCCTTAGTCTTAAAGCGCAGATCACGTAGCCCTTCTGATCTGAAGGTACAGATGATACATACCTGACACATACATGTGTTTAGTGTGGTCCTGAGGATTGGCCGGCTGGTCGGTCTTCATGGAGCACTTGGCTCCCAAGTCATATTGGGATCAGTATCAGCATCACATCCTCATCTCTTTCTTTTTTCCTTTTTGGGTCACACCTGATGATGCTCAGGGGTTCCTCCTGGCTCTGCACTAAGGAATTACTCCTGACGGTGCTCGGGGACCATAAGGGATGTCAGGGATTGAACCTGGTTGGCTGCATGCAAGGCAAACACCCTCCCTGCTGTACTATCA